AACAAGAGTAACACACACACACACACACACACACACACACAAAGCTTACGGATAAACAGATTCTGAAAAGCGCACGAACCATTTTTAAAAAAGGTGTAGAAACTATCCTGGATGTTCATTAATTGAGAAAAATGAAATTTAGTTAAAAGAGCCTCTGTGATTTTACGTTTACAAATATTTTAAACTTAATATAAATTCATAGATATTTCATGTCACGTTTTTTAAGGTCGACAAATACATGTAGATGGGACAAATGCACTAGTAAACAAACGTTTAGTTTTCTACTTGTTTCCTCTACAAAAAACAACAAATCTTGTCAATCTTCACACTCAGATTTTTAAACTGCGGTAGAAATGTAATTATTTAAAAGGGAGGGCTGGCATTAAGCTATGAAGATTGACCCAAAAAGGAATTGAATCTGAATTGGTGCTAGTGTAAGTAAATTTATTCATTCATATGTTACCGAGTTTTCGTTAATTTGTTACGAGCACTATAAGAATTACAGGCATACTTTTGCTCTAAAATTTTCATAATTCAAGTTAATTACAAAAATTAATTTATAGCTTTTCTCTGTAGTTTTTTTTTTATCTCAAAATTGAGAAGCATGCTTCTTCAAAAATATCTTTTATATTTCAGTCAGTTTGTTTTTAACATTATTATTCTAACTACTTGTATGGAGTTTGACATACAGTAACTTGTATTGAAGTCTTTTATGTTGCTTATAGTTATATGAAGTGAAAGTAGAAGGCTAGAAGGGGTCAATGAGAAGGTCAAATGTCAAATGAATAGTGTAAAAAAATCATATTGTATTAATTATGAATCGGTATTTTGTATTAGACAGACAAACTCGCCAGGTTCATGTACGTATATAATTTTTACATTTGGAATCTGCTTTATTTTGAAACGTGTTCACGACTAGATTTTGAAAACATAACGTCAAAGACCACGTTTCACTCGTTAACGAAACGTTGTCCGTGAGTATATCAAAAAACAACAACAAAATTCGGAATGTTGTCCAACAGGAGAAAGTATTCGTTTCACACGTTACCGAAGTGTTGTCCACCATTCCTCCTGAAAAAGACTAGAACTTTGTTTTTGCTGATTGTGTTACATTTGTTTTATTTTGAAACGTGTTCACGACAAGATTTTGAAAACATGACTTCAAAGACCACGTCTCACTCGTTACCCAAACGTTTCCGTCAGTCTATTTGAAAATATAACAAAAAAAAAAACTCTAAATTTTGTCCAACAGGAGAAAGTATTCGTTTCACACGTTATCGAAGCGTTGTCCGCCAGTCTTCCTGAAAAGGGTCAGAACGTTGTCTTTGTGTTTGCTGATTGTGTTACATTACCAAGTGAAAAAAGTTATGTTAGAAAAGCATTTAAATTCCACAAGTTTGGTGATTAATATTGCTTCAGTTGCAAAAGTACTAAATGATGATGTGAAATGCAATGCAATAATTGTGAAAATGAGCAAAATATTTCCGAAAAGTAAAAAAAAAAATACTTTAACATTTAATGTTAATACCTTGTCCCTTTTTTTTATTTCTATCGACAACATTCTTTAAAGTTGATATATTTTACTACGCCCTAAATTTAGTAATTAGCATGCGTACGTCGTTTGCCAAATCTTTACGTGATGATTAATTAACCTTAGGAACATGTTTTAGGCTTCCTTTGTTTAACTGCTCTGACTTTTGATACACTAGAAACACCTGTCAAAAGTATTGTGTACTTTCTATTTGGAATGAAACCAATTTTAACCTTTAATATCGAGGTGTGGCATACAAAAATGT